AAGACCCAGGGAGCGCTGCCAGCACCACAGCCAGCCATCCCTGACCCCTGAAGGAAAGGGACAAAAAGCAAGGCCATGAGAAGCGAGAACCAAGAGGCCGCAAAGACATATACAAGGTTTAATTCTAAAAGTAACCGGAGCTGCTCAACACATCTGCAAAGAGGCTAGTTAAGTTCCCTATTTCTCCCCAGCCCCAGCGATCTGAATCTCTGCAGGACAATCCCCTGTAAAACCCCACACCCTTTTTGCATCGGTTTAACCCCAAAATGGGTCAGGATCAAACGTAAGCTTGGCAGGCACTTAACCTGCAGTCACCAGGTAGAACAGACTGGGGCCTTCCGGATGACAGAGGAAAAAGAGAAACGGGAGTTACTGAGATTTTAAACCTGCTACTGAACAGCCTCTGTTGGGCCTGGATGCCAAAGCCCTGGGAGATGAGGCAGATTTGCAAAGTCAGACAAACAGATCCAAAGGGAATATCAAGGCGGCTTGTTTAAAGCCTACCAAATGCAAACTGAAGCCACTTCTGTATAACTCGTTTGTGAGGGGAAGCAGTGCCTGGTGAAATCAAATGGGCTGCCCCAGAAAGGCATAGGGAGGCCAGGAGTCCTGCGTGGATACAAAATGTGTATCTGCATCAGCAAGTGAGCCACAGATACCTGCACTCCCATCCGTGGGTACCTCCAGGTCTAAAGCAGATATCCAGGGATTTGCAGGTCTCCACATGCTTACAGAGACTAGCTTATTTCATTACAAAACTGTTTCTAGCTCTCATGGCTGGGTTAGATCTGGAAAGGTGTGAATTGAAGATTTATAACCAGGCATTTCGGATTGAGTACCTGGCTCTAGGTGCTCAGAAACACCAGCCACTGAAGAGAAAAAGCCACTTCCTTAGACCCTAGTAGGAACGTAACCGACGAACAATCAGATTCCCTTGAAACGTCAGCGTCAGCAGCACTCGGGGTGAGCAGTGCCCCTGACAGGCCGCAGCAACACCCGGGGGCTATAGCTAATGTGTCAGCTGCAGATCCCACCAGGCACCCCTAGGTGTTGCTGGCCCCATAGGAGATACCCCAGCTGCCCCGTTCCCACGGCACTCACCTTGCCGTCGTGAGTGAGCAGGATGGAGTCACTCTTGATGTCCCGGTGGATGACGCCCTGGGCATGGAGGACAGACAGGGCTTTCAGCACGGCCAGGCACACAGCCGCGATCTGCTCTTCATTCATCCTGGAGGCAGGGAAAGGGTCACCACTCTGGCAGGGCTCCCTGTGCGCCCCAACAGTGCCCTTGCCCACGGGGCCGTGCAAACCACTCAGCATGGACTGGACCAGAGCCCTCGGTGGAGTGGCGGGAAAAGCTTTAAGCGGCCACCCAATCCACGGGGGAAATCCATTCCCACTTCACAGAGGGGAAACAGGAAGGACTTGCTCCCAAGTCCCAGAGTCGGTGGCAGAGCCAGGGACAGAACCCAGGAGTCCTGAAATCTCCCCCCCCCCCCTTTAACCACTAACCTCCACAGCCCTGACCCCTTCCTTGGTGAGCTTGTCAGCCTCCTACACTGGGGCGGGCATGGAAAAGTGCTCTGTGAAGCCGGGAAACTAGCCAGCAACTCCCAGTGAGGAGAGGCCTGCGGCTGTAGATCGGCTCCATGCTGATGAGAAGCGAAATGTTCCCTGCGAGCTGAGCGCTGTGCCCGCCAAGCGGAAGGTGACGTTTTCGTGCTGGCTTGGTGGGTGACAGAGCAAAGCCAGTGCCAAAGTCCCTGCCTGCCTTCAGCGGATCCACCCCACACGAGCAGTGGGCTCGCGGGGAACTCCACCCGACAAGGCAGGCCCCTCATGCAACGGGGCGCCGCATGGGGGCTAAAGGCAGAAAAGCAACTCAGCGAACCAGTGAGCAGTCCCTTGGGGAGAGGCCCCATCCTGCTCTGAGAACAGCCCATGCCACATCTGCCAGGATCGAGCCCCTGGCCTGGGTGTGCAGCGTTTAGACCAGCTATCTGTCCCTGGGAGTCAGGTCTGCTGGATCAGGGGCCACTGACCCACAGAAAAGTCAGTGGGGTGGGGGGCGCACACAAGTGAGAAGCCAAAAACCCCCAAACCCTCACTGGCTCTGCAGAGCAGCTGCATGTGCGGGCTGGGCTAGTTCAGGCACAGAGGCCTGAGCCTGTCTGGGTTTGCCACTAGCCCTGCAGAGCGAAGGTGGGTAATCCAGGCCGTGCTAGGTCTTCCCAGTGACCCAGCCTGTCCTGTGAGAAGACACTAGAGGGCTCTCGGTGCTCAGGGATCTAACCTGCATCCTCTGCAAAGTGAAAGCTTCTGGCGGCTCCCCATGGACAGCCAGCCTGGGTTTACAGCACCACTAAGCTCAGGCAAGCGGGTTGTGTGTGCGGGGGTAGGGGGCAGCATCCACGTTAACTCTGCGACGGGGATGTACCCACAAACAAACGAACCCTCCGCCTCCCTCCTGATCTGCCTGTTCCAGGCTCCGCTCTCCTGGCCTCCGGCTTCTCACGCTCCTGAGCAGGAGCTACTGAGAGGCACTGCCAGGTACAGGCGGAAATCTGACACACCCGTCAGCTGCAGAGCTTCTTTTCTAGCCGGGACCCCACTTCCCCACTGCTGTCAGCTGCACTGCGTCAGAGGCTGGGGTCAGAAGCTCAGCCCTGCTTCATACCTGGTGTGCGTGACGATGTCCGTGAGAGCTCCCCCTTCCAGGAACTCCATCACCACCCACAGCTCGTCCCCCACCAGGTAGCTGTTGTACATCTCCACCACATTCTCATGCTGGTAGTCCCTCATGATCACCACCTGAAACGCAGGCGCAGCGCAGACGTTATGGCCAGTGAGGCGAGAGGAAAGGGCTGTGGGGCTAAGAGCCAGCAAGGCAAACAGGCACAGGCGGCTTTGCTACCTACCGAAAATCCCAAGAGAGCTTTTTAAAAGGAGGGGAAATAAACCTGGACATAAATGTTGCTTCCTAACAGGCAGGACTCACCCCACCAACGCCCCGCCGCAGGGCCTAGCTAGAGACTGCCTTGGGAGGCACCTGCTCTCCTCGTGGCGTGTGCCATCCGGGCAGTGGCTGTCACCGGGGCAGAGGTGATTATGCATGTTCATGGGGAGTGGTTGGCCCTGGTGGGCTGGGCCTTGCTGGCTCAGCCACTGGGAAGGAATGAGGCTATCAGGACCCCCTCCTAGTGAGCCCTTGCTAGGCAGTGTCCAAAACCATCAGCTGATCTGGGGTAGTGTGCAGAGGGCCCAGCAGGCAGCGCTTCTGCCTCCCACCACACAGCCCGGAGGCTCGGCAGACGCAGCGCGCCCATGGGATGCTGGCAAGGTCCCGCTGGGGGTGCCTGACTCAGAGTGCGCGGCCCAGGGAGAACAAGGACCCTTCAGAGCTCCACAGGAACAGGGCTGTCTGACAAGCTACATCCCCAGGAGCATCTTGTGCTTTCTCCAGCCCAGACTGGAGAGATTCAGCCATGGGCACCAGTTTCACAAGGGAAGGCGATTTGCCCAGCTGAGTACAGCAGTCCCACCCCGCCCATGCTCCTGCGGAGAAGTGATATTAGCCCGATGCCTTTGGAGTTTCTTCTCGCCTAGCAGGTGGGAACTGGGAGCAGCTGGTGGCTGCGTGACCAGTCACCCTGAGCCACTGCTTGGGAGCATGTGTGGTCACCGACCCCAAGGGCAGGATGAGACGGTTACTTACCTCGCGACTGTTGTTCTTCGCGACGTGTTGCCTACGTCCATTCCGTCTAGCTGTGTGCGCGCCCCGTGCACAAGTTCCAGAAGCGTTTTGCCCTTAGCAGTACCCGTAGGGCCAGCAGGGGAGCCCCCTGGACTAGCACCGGTATATCCTAGCGTATTACCCCCTGCTGGCCCGCCATCCCCAGTTCCTTCTTGCCAGAGATTCCGACGAAGGTGGAGGAGGGCGGGAGCGGAATGCACATAAGCAACACATCTCGAAGAACAACAGTTACGAGGCAAGTAACCGTCTTTTCTTTGAGAGCTTGCTTATGTCCATTCCGTCCAGGTGATTCCAAGCCAGCCCCTAAGGAGGTAGGTCGGAACCTGGAGCGAAACGGACTGCAGCACCGCCTGACCTACGCTGCGACCTGACTAGCTTGTTGCGTGATGGCGAGGAGGCCTGGGCCCTAGTCGAGTGGGCCGTGATAGGAGGGGCCACTCTCCCGGTCAGATCGTAACAGGTCTTGACACACGATGTGATCCATGATGAAAGACACTGAGCTGATACTGGGGAACCCTTCACCCTGTCTGCTATGGAGACAAACAACTGAATGGACTTGGGAAACAACCGCGTCCTGTCTAAGTAAAAGGTGAGACCCTCCTAACGTCCAGTGAGCGGAGCCCCCTCTCCCATCCGCATGCGGCTTTGGGTAGAACACTGCAGGAAAATCTCCTGGGACACGTGGAGCAGGGAAACTACCCTAGGGAGGAAAGCCAGGTGGGGGCGCGTCGTCACCTTGTCCCTCGCAATCACTGTGTACGGAGCTTCTGAGGAGCGGGCCCGCAGCTCAGAAACCCTCCTGGCTGAGGTAATGGCCACCAGAAACGCCACCTTCCATGAGAGGTGGGAGAGAACACGCAGCCAACGGCTCGCGCATGAGCCCCCGCAGCACCAGGTTCAAATCCCACTGCAGCACTGGCCGACGCACGCGGGGGTAGAACCTGTCCAATCCCTTCAGGAAGGGTTTCACCATATCCTGCGCAGAGTGACCTCCCGCCCTCCCCCGGTGGAAGGCTGCAATGGCCGCCAGGTGTACCCTGATCGATGAGGTGGACAGCCCCTGGCCCCAGAGGTCGAGACGGTAGCCCAAAATAAGGGGAATGGGCGATGCCGGCTGCGGTGCCAGGGCCGGCTTAGGCACATGGGTCTCGTGGCCCGCGTGCGCCTCCGTGCTGGGCCCGGGGAAGCTGTGAGCTCTATCAGCTCCCGGGCCGCAGAGAACGTCTCCGGCATGGACGGCCTCCAGACCTCCTCCAGGGACAGGTCCTGGCCCCCTTGGCTCCTGATGTTACCGGGCCCCTCTCTTGAAGCACGGGCTCTGGAGGGCAGGCGCTCGGGTCCCGCTTCCGTAGTGACCTTTCACTTCGTGCTAGTAAACGGCACTGGCGATTGAGATGGGTGCAGGGAAGGCGCCGTGCGCCTTGGCACCCGCTCTGTCTCTGTAGTCGACCCTCCAGGGACAGGTCCTGGCCCCCTTGGCTCCTGATGTTACCGGGCCCCTCTCTTGAAGCACGGGCTCTGGAGGGCAGGCGCTCGGGTCCCGCTTCCGTAGTGACCTTTCACTTCGTGCTAGTAAACGGCACTGGCGATTGAGATGGGTGCAGGGAAGGCGCCGTGCGCCTTGGCACCCGCTCTGTCTCTGTAGTCGACGCAGATGCGCTCCTTACCAAGGGTGCTGGCTCCAGCGGGAAGTGCCGACTCCATTAACAGGCGCTTACGCCTGGAGTCTCTCCCTCTGCCTAGGTTTAAAAGACCTGCAGATGTTCGTTAAATGGCCCTCAGGAGGCACTTCAAACTGTCTGTGTGTGGATCTCCCGGGGCCTGAATTTGGAGCACTGTTGGCAGGGTTTGAAGCCCTGGGGCTCTGGCATGCTATCAACACTATCTACTAATCATCAACTGCTAACTACTCCTAAGGCGACACTATTTACATAAGACAGCTAAGGGTGCACTTCACTCCAGCAACCCACACGGAAGGAACTGAGGGGGTGGCGGGCCAGCAGGGGGTTATATGCTAGGGTATACCGGCGCCATTCCAGGGGGCTCCCCTGCTGGCCCTACGGGTACTGCTAAGGGCAAAACGCTTCTGGAACTTGTGCACGGGGCGCGCAAAGCTAGACGGAATGGACGTGAGCAAACACTCAAAGAATCACCCTAAGCAGCTTAACCGCATCCCACTCCTCCTAATCAGACCCCAGGGCCCCCTGACCAGCGCCCCCTGCTCCTTCCAGCTCGCCCTGCTCCTGCTTGGAGAGTTATTGGGCCTCTCTCCTCTTCCCACTGCATCCCTTCCAAATCGCACCGCAGACCACGGACTCTGGAGTCCTATCGTGAAATCTAGCCGTGCGGGCGCTTTTGCCCTGCACTAGACAGGATTCCTGGAGCCCCAGCATGTCTCAGAGGGGGCCCTGACACAGAAGGGAGTTGCAGGGGAATCCCGAGGTTATTGGGGGGGCACAGTCAGCGTTCCCTGAAAGCTGAGGGGCAGCAATCAGCCTGTCCAGTCAGCGGCAGAGACGGGGCGGGGCCGATTAATCACTGGTGCTGCCCCCCAGCTTGGAGGGAACACTGGTGCTGCTGGTACGACTGTGCGGTCTTCAGAGCTGGGCAACTGGAGAGCAGCACCCTGCCAGCAACCGGCAGAAGTAAGGGTGGCAGCACTGCAACCTGCCTACAATAACCGTGTGACCCCACCCCCAGACAATGCCCAATGGGGGCCGGACCCCTGCGATCACCACACAGGGACACTTCAGATTTCAATGTGGTACATTTCGGGATTTCTTTTTTACAACCCTGTGCCTGTGAAATTGACCGAAATGGACTGTGACTTTGGCAGGGCTCTGCCCCTAAGCCAGCCCCTTCCCGCAACAGATGAGACATGCCTGTTCCGTAACCTGCCACCGGGTGACTTGGTGGCTGTACCCTCTGCCCGGTGCTCTCCCAAAGAGCTGGAACACCAGTGCCTCCCATCACAGTCAATACTGGGCAGGGCACCTATGGAACTGGGGAGCTTGCATCTGGTTTCAAAGATGAGGTCTTGTGAGCGGGGACTGGGAGCCACAGGCCAGCTGGGCAAGGAATTCAGGCACCTAAAGATGCAGCGGGGCAGAGCAAAATCACCTTAGCAGGCCTGGCCCAAGCTTACTCAGGCGCTTCTGAAACCCCTGCCAAATGCCCGTCTGCATCTTCAGATAGCCAAAGACCTGACGCCTTTCTCCAAAGCGCTCGGCTGCCTGGGCCCAGGAGATCCAAAAGCCAGAGTAAAATGCCGACGAGGATCAGTCATCAGCGACACTCCCCTGGCAGCAGGCACCTTTCTACGAGGGTGAAGACTCTGGAGCATGATCCCCACCTCCTGCTCCACGTGCAAGGCAAATTCCTTCTCTGCCATGCAGCATTGCATGTGCAGGAGTGGCCCCCACCGTACAGCTGCTCTGCAGGACAGAACGCGGCAGGCACTGGGCATAAAGCACACCTGGCTACAGTGCTGAGAATGGCACCGAAGCAGTGTAGAACCGCACCGGAACACGGCTCCTACGTCGCTTACAGATGTGCTTTTGAAAACTCCCCCGTGCTGTCAAGCTCCTGGCCCGCAGACCAATCAAGAGCGTGGCTGGAGTCAGTGCAGCGCCCAAGGGACTGCTACACTTGGGGCGTGCCTGTGCTGGGAGCATGCGCCCTGGCCAGCCGTGCTGCCTGCCCCGCCATGCCGACAGCACATGCGGACTGCGGTCCCTCCATCACCTGCCCCCACCACACAGGGCTCTGGGGAAGTGGGGAAGGCGTGCTGGGGTGGGGCTCCTACAGACGATTGGCTCAGAGGGGTAAGCCGCCACTGGCTCTCACTGGAGAGGCTCGTGAGCATCAGACATGGCCAAACGGGCTCGTCACAGAAACAGCTTCCGAGCTGGGTACCCTGCGCATCCGCAGGGCAGGGCCCTCCCCACCTACCTCATTAAACAGCAGCTCACGCCTCTGCTGCTTCCGCAGGTCCATTTTCTTCACTGCCACCAGCTTGCCGGTGCTCTTGACCGTGGCGATGCAGACGATGCCCGTGGAGCCTTCGCCGATTTTAATGAAGTTGTCCAAGTAGGTCCTGGGGTCACCTGGGTCAACTACCATCTGCAGGGCGGCTCGGAACTGTTCGTGGGAGACCCGCTGGGGCTCACGCTGTGGGGAGCGAGGCTGCTGGGAGGCTGTGGGCGGAGGCAGGGGTGGCGGCTGGGGCTGCTGGACATAAGATGGCTGGGAGGGGCGAGGTAAGTGGGGGTCTGACGCATGCGGGGAGAGTCCTGGATGGGGCGGCTCCGAGTTCTTGGATCGTGGCTGGCCTGGCTGCTGAGCCCTGGAGGAGCTACCGCTCTCACTCACTGGTCCGTTGGACGCCAGCTCCTGGGGCCTCACAGACCTGGGCTCTGCCTAGAAGGAGAGAAAACACAAGCAGCATGTCAGCAGCTGGGCCTGGAGCAGAGGGGCTGGAAGAAGTAGCCGCGAGCCCAGGCATGTAGTCCCAGCCAATTGAGTGCAGGGAGAAAGGGAAAGATGGGCACGCCGCAGGCGCCCCCGGCCCCCTAAGAAGCCCTGCTGAGAGAGAGAGGAGTGATTAGGGGTGCACTGGAGCCTACACGTTCCTGGGGAAGAGAGAGACAGACAGACCTGCGATGGGATGGCTGTGAGGAAAGGTGTAAGAGAAAAAGAAAACTCTCTAAAGGCCTCAGACATCCAGACAGTAGCCAGAAGTGTTTGTACTGGGCATGGCCTTGCAGAGTGTCCGTCAGCAGTTCTAGCAGAGCGAGGGGCCGCAGCTGCAGCAGCAGGGTTGCTACAGGGCATGCGGCAGCAGCAGGAAAGGTGCGAGAGCGCACAGCTGCTGAAGGAGAGGCGGGTGGCAGAGCAGGACAGCTACAGAGAAGAGAACACTGCCGGTGCGAGAAGACAGGTGCTGGTTCCGGGTTGCTAGGCTTGCGAGAGGAGGATGGGAAGCCAGTGCAGTGGCGATGCACAGCAAGCAGCGTGGCAGAGGGGCAGTGGCTGGTGGAGGCAGTGTAGCAGTGGCGCCAGT